ATTATAATGCAAACGTTAAGCTTGACAGTCATTTAGAGCAACTTGCAAACCACCAGACCGCCCACTCTGCCTTCCTCTGCTCCCACTTACGCTGGGAGAAATCTGGAATAACCCAGCCGATCTCAGTAGAGATTTGTCACTCTGAAAGACACCAGCGCAAGTCACAGATTTTCTAACTTCGGTTTGGATGAAAACCCAGGGCTCATTCATCGTACCTCAGGGTATTCAGTATTGACTTTAATTAAAAACCTCCTCGCTGTGCCAAAACCCATGCAGATGCAAACTTCCGTGTTCAGTGTGCAACGCATCGCTTGATAAAACTGCGAAGCTGCATTTACAGTCTGAGGTAGATGCACAAAGTGGGATCTGCCTGTAAAATTTCCTCTTGTTCTGCAAACTCTCTCTCACTGCACTGCCCCAATTTACCGCAGTGCAAAAAAACACAGTCAAATCAATATATTCTTTGGAAGGAACGGGGCTGGTAGAGTGGTTTTTGAAGGCAAGCCAGAGAATATTCTAAACGGGGGACACACAGTGTGTTTTAACTGCTGTGATAATTCTGCATGAAGAGATGTTAAGGATCTAGCTCCTTGCTGTAGCATGCCATGTGTCCCTGAATAAAATTACTGCCATGCAGGCTGTTAGCAGAGGAATGCGTAAACAGACAATGTATCCTTGCATCAGTTCCACAAAATGTTGCACAACACAAATGCCTCTCGATGTGTCATTTCCTGCTTGGCCACCAGCCCAGCTCCTGACAGGCAGTCAACAGAAAAAAAAAAAAAAAAAAAAAGGAAAAAAAAAAAAGAAAAAAAAGAGAAAAAAAAATTTAAAAAAAAGAATACTGAAAGATTTAAAGCTGTTCTACTCCAAAGCACATTCCACTAGCCCCAGACTTATCCCTCCACCCTCCGCCTTTGAAAGAAGAGGGAGAACTTCCTAAAAACTGTTATGGTTTTAAGTTGAGGAATCTCAAAAATCTCAATCACTTATCTGCATTTTATAAGCCAGGTCGGCCAAACAGTTAATATAAAGTCTAAGCAGAACCTCTCGCTGGCTTTTGCTGGCTTCTGCAGCGTGCACAGACAAAAAGGCGATGTTTGCTCATACCTTTCATCACGTGTGCACCTTGCAAGTTGCAGCAGCAGAGAAATATTCGGGAGCTGAATGAAATAGAACAGTTTTTCTCCTACCAAAACACTTCAGTCCAAAGATCACAACCACTTTTCCATTCACGCTGATAGAGAAAATTGTGGTCAGTGACTTTGGAGACTACCTTTAATTAGAGATGAACTAAAGTCTTTGAAAGCCAGGCAAAATATAAAAATATATGGACTTCTCCTCCCTCCTTCCTCATGATTTCCCTCCTGACTGGGTTTCCACCAGAAGCAGCCAGAAAGGAGGACAGGTCTCCTGTTCTAAAGGTACCACCACAGAAGGGCAAATCATCATTTCTGTATTCGTAATGAAGTAAGGCAAAGGCATTAAAGGGGGGCTTAGGTAAAGGTTTGGGGGTTTTTTGTTCTGTTTTTTCTTCTTTTTAATTCCTTTACAGTGATCTCTTGCTATCTGTCAGTCAGTTATGACCTCACAACAACCTATTTCTCCAGAAAACTTCTTTCAGCCCTCCCAGCTGGAAGGCAGCTCTGCTGGCTAAGACGTGCATATGGCAGAGGCTTTATCCTGGATATGAGGAGAGAAAAATATCTGCAGGATTTCCCAATGATTCCCAAAGATCTATACAACCCCATCTCGAGAATCCATCGCTCAGAACGCAACATGTTATCTCAATCCAGCACAAAGACTGTGCAACACAGTAGATGTCCCTGGATGGTAATCTAGATAGACTGAAATAGATAATTAAAAATAAATAATCCTTTCCAAGGAAAAATCACCAGAAGACCTTTTCTCATATAGAAATGCGCAGGTTTTCCTAACAGAGCAACCTGACATCACCGTCTCTATTAAAATATTTTAAAATAATAACAGAGAGGCAAGGTAGCAAGCTTCTACAAGCATACGTTTAATACGACTAAATGGCACTTACATTTAAGAACCTGACTTTCTGAAGTGCTGAGCATCCAAAACACCAACTGGAGTCACTGCATGTCATGACTGTTCAGCACTCTTAAAGCCAGGCTCTAAATGATTGTGATATCTGTCATGGTATTCCTGCAGCTCCTACTGCTGCTGGAAAGCACGCAGCATTCGTTCACTTGAGTCAACTTGCCAACGGAAGGTCAAAGTGCCTTGCCTATAAACAAGCCTTACAAATTCACGATCTAAAGCATGATGTCATGTCTTAAAATGATAAGCTGGCAACAAAGTAAATGACATTTTGTAAAGATGTGCATAATTTTATGTTTACGCTACTTAGAATGAAGGTTCTAATAAGTCATCGGTTGTGTTCCTTTAAAGGGAAGTTTTATAACTGAGATGAATCACAACTGCAAAAGATCAAAGTTAAAAAACATCAATGATGCCATGGGGTACTTTTTAATCTTGTAATGAATGATGATCATGTGCTCTTATGAAGTTGGTCCAACTGCCAACGCCAGATGTGTATATTAAGAAAAAAGTTGTTTGTGATGTGACAGCTCTGGTTGAGCTGCCAGAGAGAGGAAAACTAGGATAACATGCTTGAGATGTCAAACTGAAATACAGATCCTGGCAGGGAAGGGCACTATTTGCCGATACATAATTTGTTAAGAAAAACACATTTGCTATCAGAGTCGCTCGTCGACTTGAATTCCTTATTGCCCCCAATCACCTAATTTTCCTCATGCAACGTAAATGCCAGATACACTTCTTGAACGATTACTACCAAACAGTAATAAATCTACACGAGTGCCGGGGCTCTTAGAAGGAAACAGAACTTCAGTCAAACTCCCACAGCTCACTGGAGCTACTCTTCCCCTGAAAATTCCAGTTTAATAACTAGTCATTCTGGAGGTGTCATAGCCTTGGAAGTATCAGACTGCAATAACAGAACTTGCAGAACCAAACTGACCCCAGCGTAGAGCCTCACTGAGTATTTAGCCACAATATTAAAGTTCAAATGGACATGGACATTCAAGCTCAAATTTGGCTTTCTTTAAAAAAAAAAAAAAAACCAAACAGATGAAGACACAATAACTCCATCTAGGCTGTACGAACTAAGTTACCGAGCATTCCCACATTCAGCTATTCAATGAGAATAGCTGGATTCACGTACTGAGGCCTATCAGGTCTAAACTAAAAAACTGCAGCGGAACTTGGAAATCTTATTAAATTATATGAACACAGCCTCACTTTTAATCCACCGGTCACCAAAATGGTTAGTCCCAACGCAAGCAGGTTCCCTTTCTGGCCTACACAGGGTAGTCCTCGCTATTCTCCACATCATTTTCAAACCGCTCTGCTCCTTCACAGCAGTTGTGTCCTCTGCTGGGAGATTTCCTCTCTTGAGGATGCTTCAATGCATACACGAAAGCAGCCTCCAAATGGGAATGGTTAAATGATATATAACTTGTTCCCTGGTTTTTACTCCATGAATGCAGTTTGCCCAGTATCTCCAAGTAAGCTACATGGAGCACCAGCTGCAGGTGAAAATTAAAAATGGAAACTGATTCAGCTCGGGAGAGAAGACCAAACAAAAATCCCCTCGCTGTGACAGACGGACACGTCAACTGTGAGCAGGTAGCAATGCAAGTATCTACGTAATGAAATTTATCCATAGCTACTTGCTTTTTCTTAGCTGTTATTCAAGGTGAAACTCTACAGCCTGGGCAGTTCTTACAGAAGGCATTTCAGTTCCCGTCTCTCAGTGCAAGAGGAGGTGACACCGCAGCGTGTATTAGCACGAGAAACACTTAACTGTCTTTCTACTTCTTCTGTCTCTGTCGTATTTTAAACAAAACTCCATGAAAGCTCCTTGAAGGTCTCATTTGTATGTGCAGGTCAAAGGCAAAATAATTATCTGAGATACTTCCATTATAGAGATTTTTCTGAATGTGGTTATTTACCAAATAATTCTTAATCTCTAAATATGATATAAATATAGCTATACCTGGTTAATCCAAACAATTTAGAAAGAGTTGCTCTACTCAAAGTAAGAAAAAACTCCAGAGCTGGCTCATCAGTGATACCCATACAATGTGAGACTTGTTACCAGCTAAATATGCTAGACAGAGAGACAGCCATATAAATCACGATGGATTAATCAGACTTGACTGTATCTAAAAATAAGTGCCACCCATAAAACTGCTAAAACATGACAAAACACAACTGTCATAAAAATATAGCCACCGATCATTGCAAACAGACTCACTCTAGTAAGTTAGGAAGCGCATTGCTATGAGGTAAACATGCTGAGTGAAAATCTACTGGACTAGGTTTAAATAAAATGTATGTTCTGTGCACAAATAAGAAACAAAGACCACGCTGTTGATATACTGGTTTTTATCTTTCTTTGGCCCCCAGGGGTCTATGATAAGTCCATAGCTGAAAACCGATTTCAGGTATGATGAGATTAACCAGGTGCATTAATTATCTGATGGTAAAAGAATTTAAGGGCAAACAAAAAGGCACTATATTATATATTTTCTCTCTGCGCTAGGACTGATCCTGAAAGATCAGTCTCCTATTCTGTTCTAAACGTCTTTAGCTGGAAGCTTACGGGAGTTTAGGGAATTCAGCATGTTGCAGGATTGTATCCATTATGCCTAAATCAGATTATATATAAATATAGTGGGTTTAGTTCTCATTTACACTGGCAGATAATGTATCAAGACCTTGATGTGAATGAGAATCAGGTTCATGATTGCCCAAATTCAGCCAAGCACTTAAGTGTGTGTTTAATGCAAGTATGTGTGTGGTCCAATAGACTCCAAATTAAGCACGTGCTTAGATATTTTGCTGAGCAAGAACCAGTGTTTGACAAAGATATATATTTCATTTATGGGTCTCTGTTAAACAAAATTAAGCAGACGTAAGTGCAAGAATAAGAATATAATACTCACTTCTTGGCTCCCTTGGCCCATCCACTGTAACCTTTATAGCTCTGTGGTATGTAGCGACTTGGGGGGGATTTGTCAGGACAGTTATTGTCAAAGTAAAGCTCTTCCCTACAAAGGGAAAAAAACAAGAAGGAATGAGTGATTACAACATGAAAACAGTCACATGCATGTTCAGTAAAGAATCAGAGACGTTTAAAATTATTCCCTGTTGTTACCACAATCGTGAAAATTAAAAACATAACTGACCATAGGAGTTTTCCTCCCCTTCAGTTTTACTCTATGTCAAGAATATGTCCATGTGTTGACAATCTAAATGTTCCTTATTTAATAATGGGTCATGATACAATGACATAACAAAATTGATTCACTGCTGAGGACAAGCCGAATTCTTTGCTGCATTGAAAGTGGTGTAAATCCAAAGCAAGTCAGATAATTTAAAAATTTACTCCAGTTTTGCAGCTGTGTGACAGAGAGCAGAATGTGGCCACATGTTATTTACTTCACACAGTTTTATCATTTCATTTGTTTGACTTGACTACAATAAGATGAGGAAAGAATATATTTTCCTCCTGGGAGCCGTTTTAACGGGGAATCAGTGTCTCCTGTCCTTCATACGCTAGGGGTAATGCGATGATATCATCATTACTGGAAGAGACTTTTTTCCCCTACATATATTCCATCTATGAAATACTAAGAAAGCCCCCAACTTTCCCGCGAGGGTGAGAAACTGCTGCGTGCACGTACGTTGCTATTGTCAGTCTGCGCTTTTTTTTTTAAATTATTTTTTCAAAGTTCACATTCACGCAGCGATTGCACAAGATCACCCGCAGCCTTCAGCTGAATGAAAACGTTAAAAAGAAATAAATAGAGGGAGCTGCCTGCGCCTGAGCGCACATTCTCACAAGGCGCTGGCCCCCGTTCGGGAGACGCACTGACAGTTGTAATCTGTTAGATATGCAACGGTTAGTCATGCCAGATAGTCAAAACTGAAAACTGTTTCAAGACAGGAAAAGGTGGGCGTACAATAGTGACTCAATAAAACAGTCAGCAATCTTCGGCCCTCATGCTCATTTCAGCTGCTACTTTACCAGACACTCGAAACTCTCTTCCCCCCCGCCTCCCTGTGCCTATACGTGCATTTTTGTTGCTAGGGCTTTTCTTCTCGCTGAACTCTGAAGGCAGTCAATCAAGACACAAATCTTAAAAGATAGGGAACAGCACAAACTTAGTGCAGTTTTTTCGAGCCTAATATAGAACAGCTTATATATAAGGCATAATACAGAACAGAGCTTTGGCTGTCAAATCTAGTAATTGGTCTTTCTTTCTGGTCCAAGTCGTATATCCCCCAAACCTGCCTGAGACACGCATCATTTATTACCAGGAGTGCAACTTTAAACTGTCTGGGCTGTATTTTTCACAAACTAGAATGTGACATGGATTTTTTTTTTTTTTTTTTTTTAAGGAAATATAACTGCCATTTAGAGCAAAATGATTTTCCAGGTGTAGCTGCGCTCCAGCTGTGCCCGCCTCTCCCAGAGATGCAGGTTAGAGGGGAGGTCAAGACCCCGGCAAAGGTGCAAAAAAATCTCAGGAGGCTGAATTCCGCCTCGGTGGGGATGCATGGCCGACGGTGGCTTTCCCCAGTTTCATTGGGAAAGGGATTTTTTCTCAAATCTTTCGAGAGTGATCATCGCAGGAGGAGAGCGAGGACGTGGGACGTCCAGCCTTCGCCCAGCCTTCGTCACCCGCCATGCCCGGAGGCGACCCGTGCGTCCCGCCGGCGTGGAGCGGCAGCGTAGGACGGACAGCCTCCGGACACACAGCAACAGCCCTACCGACGCACGCCGCGCCCGCTTGCTTGGGGCTGAAGAGGGGCCGTGCCTTTTACCCCTCTCCGAGCAGGAATTCAGCCTATTGCCTGATATACATAAACTCACCAGGGACAGGTTTAAGGCCTCCTTCAGCGCCAGCCTATCATGTCAAAATCATAGTCAAAGCCCTGACTATGGCATTGCGTGATGATGCCATTCAGATGACAGATACCCATATGAAATGGGCAGAATATTATTGGCCACAAAGATACCTTAGGGATTTTCCATATACCTTTGAACGAAGAATCTGGCCTTCCGATGCTACCGTTCCATTTATATGCCAAATCAGTACAAAAGTCTATCATGACTAAAAATCAACCCAACAAAATAGACTGTTTGTAAGACCCTGTAAAATCATGTCTGCATGATTTTCTGCACTAAATATATCTCAACAGGATACAGCGGCCATTAAAAATACATTCCTTCACATCTAAGAGCCATGTTTCGACCTTGCCTGCGAGCACTTCTCGATTATCACCTCCCAGCCAGCCTCAGCTGAACAGGTAAGCACTGGATTTGAAAGGGACACTGGTTTTGCTCCCTAACTGGGACTCTACTAAACCGAAGTGTTAATGAAGTAACACCACGAAGCCCCCTCGCACTCAGCAACCAAGACATCACTTCAGCGCGGGGAGCTGCGCGGCCCTGCCAGCACGCTCAGGTTCCAGAGCTTTCAAGAGATGATTTACATATTACAGGATTAAGAACAAAATAAATTTTCAAGGTCCCCCGTTTCAGTGATGCTTATGCCTGCCACGGATATTTCACAGATATCCCTCCTCGGCTACGAAATCCTTTAATGCACTTTTTATCACCTTTCTTTATTGCCCATAGTCATTTCAACTACCCACTTTTAGAGGCTAAAGACTAATTGTAGTTCTCTTTTATTAAATTCCTCAGCCAAGCAGTCATCTGGCACTATTGCTTCAGTGTGTCTAAACTGTGCATTCTTTGTTATTCACACATGTGAGCCGAGCTGACACAGAGGAGGACGAGATGGACATATGCTGAAGCACAAGGCAAACCCTCCGAAATTAGCTTGAAAGGAGACTCGGCAGCTTGTGTGTGTTGCATATTTTTTCAGTTAGATGCTAATGTGATTAAAGTATCAGGACACAACAAAATTAAGGTTATGATCCTTTGCTTATTGAAGACAGGAATCCTTTCTTCTCTGCGCTGCGGATCGGGCTTGTAAGAGTGAGCTACCGCCTGAAAACCACGTACAGACAACAACGGCATTCACGTGAAGCATCCCGCTTACTTACTCTTATGAATCCAGAAAAGGTGTTTAAAAGGAATTATGCAAACAAAAACGTGAAGCTTCTGTCAGGCAAGCGACATTAATATGTATAAAAATCAAGTTTCTCCATTGAGCCATGGGAAGGCAAGAAAAAACGTGGGAGAGGAGGTGAAGTGGTAAGTTGATGATTCAGACTTCGCAATCAAATTTAGAGATACAGAGATCAAAGAGCGAGCTGTTTAGAAAGATGTAAATCTAAAGTCAGGAACAGGTGTGGATTAGTTTCTTGCCACTGAAAAATGATTTCTTTATTAGTTTATTTTTCCTGTTCTGCTTCAAGACCTGTATCTGCTGATATTTGCCCGTGTAAGGAGCTTTCTCACTTCTGTTTGCAACTACTGCTTTCTTTCCCTGCTATTTTAAGCAGAGTTCTAAAACTCTATCGCTAATGATAACTCTTTCTCCTTCTCTCCCTCTCTCCCCCCCTCTCTGTTCTAAGTCTGGAAGACAAGTCTGGACCAATTTCTCCATCCTGCCTCTGGCAGCAGAATGCAGCATTTCAGATCCTCCACCGAGTCCCGGCTGCTTCAAAGGAAAAGCCCTACTTTCTTCCGTTAAGATCATAAGAAATATAGGGGGAGGGGGTCAGCTCTGTTTGGACATAATTACACTTCATCAAAAGAAGCTTTCTTCATCTTCCATGCGTGAAAAGTCTGCAAGCAGTTAAGTCTGTCTTTTTTCTTCCTTTTTTTTTTTTTTTAAATATAAAAATTGCTATTTGGGAAACTAGCCAAAACTCAGAAAGCCAATATAGTAAAACAGTGTACACCCTTTGTTTTTCTTTGAAGTCTCTTAAATAAATATGTTGAGGATTTGAAAAGTACACTATCGCTTTTCCATAGATTCTACCCAGATTGATCAGAGAAAAAGTCTATTGCAAATCTGCTAGATACAAATATAAATTAAGCAACTGGAAGCAAATTTTAGGATGTCTGTGTTTGTATGTGTCTGTAGCCATATCTACTGAGGCTTTAGGCCTTCTATTTCATTTCCTATGCTTTAATAAAAAGTATATATCATAGGTTCCAAATGAAATTCACAGATCAGAGGTAGTACATCACATTTCAGTTCTTTTTCAGCACTACTGAAAGACTGATACACTACTGAACTTTTACTGTAAGGCAGCAGTAGTGATGGAGCCAGAGAACTTTCAAACCTAATCCATCAGCAGAGTAACAAAGCAGACTGGTTTTTTTAAAGAAAGCGAGACAAATGGAAGAGAGAGGTAACACCTTATCGAAAAGGGCAATAAACTCCACATTTATATTGCATTACTTTTGTGATAGTTATTCTGTATTTCAAGTTATTCTTTATTATCGATACTTTTCAAGTTGTAAAATGATAAAAAGAATTGTTGGCCAGGTCACTAAAATAAAAAAGAGACACTGTAAGCCACGCTTATGGAATCACTTTCATAAAGCACTTGTAAAAGTGTGCTGACTGAATAAGACTATCTAGGCCTCTGTCATATGTTTAATTTTTTTTTTTGACAAATACTCTTTCCTTCCTCAAGATGAATTACAACTGCTTGGTAAAGAATATTACTGTAAAATTAGCTTTATTGCTAATTTCCCAACAGTTGTTCAGCTCCTTTTGCTTTGTTTTGCCCCATGCAGAGCTAGTTTAAAACATGAATAATTACTTCAAATACATAAAGGAAAAAATATGTAGGTTGAATCAACGACTGATACAACAAACCCCTCTGAAGATTCCTGCAGCACAAACTGAAGTGCCAGCTTCCTTCAAGCTATCCTTTCCATCATTACCTTAAATTTGAAAGCAGCTACAAGACTCTTAAAGAGGAATTCTTGCAAACTTGCAATAATTACAACGGCTTTCTATGAGTGCAGTGCAGTTTCCAGATTATAGGAAGCTCCTAAACAGCTGGAAGACAATGACAGCACTCTACATCTTCAAAAAAAAAAAAAAAAAACCAACCCTGAAAGTTACCCTGTCATTTAAAGTAAAGGTTAAATTTAGTTCAAGCCCAAGCTTACCAGCAATTCATAAAAAGTCAACCAGTTTACTAAAAACATAGGATGGCTTATTTTTGCAGGTCATATGCAGTTTGATTGCAAAGGACAGGGAAGTCACTAGAAAGCTTTCCACCAATAGCTGTAAGCCCTTAAAGGTGTAAGCCCTTGAAGAATATATAGCACATGTGATATGCAAAATCCCCTTAATTATAGGTCTCCTACAACAGCTTCAGAAGCAGCTCTACCGCTAAAGGGAATTCGCCATCTCTCATTGCCGTGGCCTGAGATACACTCTCTGACTACACGTAACTCGGATCACCAACACTCCCATTTCCTTCTACCTTTGCTGTGCGATTAAAATACAGAAGCAGGCACGCTGTGAGTCATTTTTCAAAATCTGTGTCTCATGAAAACATACAGAGACATGAGGAGTCAGAAAAACTTAAGAGAAACTCTTAACTTGGTTTGCACAAATGCTTTAGTTTGCAGATAAAGCATGCACTCATCCCTCCAAATGAAAGGTCAACGACGACTTATTTACAGATTGATCACTGCTGCATTGCAAAGTAAGTTTGACGTCTAGACATCGGTTTTACTTCATTATGGACACACAAAATGCAGTCGCCTACCTCTTCCACTTCTGCCCACGAATCGTAAGTCATTAAATCTGGCCACCTGGTTCTTCATCACGGCAGAAGCGTTTCGCAGCTCTGCAGAGTAGTTCTCATCATTTCCAGCCATGACGGTGACCACCGTCCCATCAGGCACTTCTCCTAAGGCCACCACCTGTTAAAAGGAGAAGACAACCACAACTCGTGAAGCAACACTCTGAAAACGCGTGTCTCCGTGCCAGCTTTGCAGGCTGCCATGCTCCTTACGAAGCTCTGTGACAGCTTCTCCAGCCCGCTGTGGTGAAGAGTCATGTATTAGCTGAACACAGAACAAAGTGCCACATCAAACAAAGAAACATCTTGTATTGTCTGCCTTTCTCATAGCCTAATAGGGAGTTTCTTCTTTGTTACACTTCTTCAGAAACATTCAACGTCCTTATGTAGAGTGCATGGTATAATGCTTCCTGAAGGCCAACTTTGTTCTCAGCAACCAGTGAGCAGCGAGAGAACATGAGGCATGGCTCGTATCCATAAATTACACACGGGAGCACACTTGAAACGGAAAGTTAGAAATTACTATTAGCAGCCATATCAGCCAGATTAGGTTGTACTTCTCTGCTGCCTGCACCCATCACTCCGAGCCCAGCGCTCCTCAGACTTCACGCTAGAGAGAAACCCCCACCTACCCATCCCAAGAGCTTCAGCAGACAAAGCTCCCCACCCAACACGCTGCTGTGACGGAGCGCTTCATGGCTGGAATTCAAACTCCTCAGATGCAAAATAAAACAAAGGCTGGATTTCCTCGCAGGCATGTAAATTTTCATAGCGCTCGCAAGAGTCGCATGTGGTTAGCGCTGATACCTCCCTCAAATTCCAGGACGGGTGAACAGAAGATATTCAACTATTTCTCCTTACGTTTCAACTAGCTGAGAGTCTTACTTTTATGCTTCAGTGGTTGTGTAGTGCTCCAGCATCTGATTAGAGAAATGCCACAGAGAAGGCAGCTCCTGTCTTCTAATGTGAAAACATCAGGGATACCTACAGTTACCGCACCGTGCCTTTTTAAAGTAAAAATAAAGTTAAACATGAATACTAAGTTACTAGGAAGAAAATACACGTTTCTTCACATGGGGTAAAAAAAGTCCACAGAAATATCAGGAAAATAATTTCCTTTTGCCCAGTTAGCTAATACTGATGCTGGAAAGAAATTTATTCCAAAAAGAGATTCACAAATATTGCATGGCTAAGCTCTGACTTGAAAAAAAAAAAAAAATCTTGAGACGCAAAGTCTGTCCCCTTGCAGTTTCTACCAGTTCACATGGTCAGGTACGACCTTTTCGATTATTTGGAGTAATTTATTCTGTCTCCTGAAATATATATTACGTTTTGTCATAAGCCCTGCTTGAAATGTCTGTCCCATAAATGATCCTGTCTGAAACTAATAATTGCAGGTTGTCCTTTAATATTAATTAAGCGGAAAGAATGAGGAGTTCTGAATATATAGGGAGAGCATTCTGTGGCCCAGTGCGTTGTACGATGTTTCTCTAAAACGATGAAAATTAATGACAAAGGCATAAAAAATCTGAAAATATTTAAAATAGACTAGATTACTGAAAATTATAGCTCGTCTTATTTAAAAGAAATATTGAAGAGAAAGAAGAAAGGAAAGCTGAAACGCTGTATAAAAAGGATCTACCCTGGTGCTTTTCTGCTTTTCTATAAAACACCAGGTAATACCACCCAAAACCGTAAACTGAGTTTTGCCACAAAATGCTGTGAGGTCTCCGTCTATCAAGCAAAGATTTTACTTTAAAGTGATATGAACGCCCCTGAACATAAAAACACAGGAACCACTGGTGTGGGTAAGATCTGAGGTCCCACTAGCTCCCTGCCTTGGGTCTGACAGCAACCAGGTCTGACGGCTTCAAAGCGAGGTGTAAGGAATAATAAATAAAAATCAAATAACAAATAATAATCTGCTGAACAGACTACAGAGCTGAGTCTAACCCTTAATAAGTGGATATTGGCTTAAACTCTAAAGCATGGGGCTTGCGACTGCTTATCAAGCACTCCCTTCCCGGTCTGCGATAGCCCACGTTGTCGCTGGACGCTCTTGCCATGCACAGGAGCATCCAGGGGAGTTGCAACCTGTGCTTTTTATACCTCACGAAACAAACAAACAACAACAAAAAAAATCACATTAACTCCAGAAATGCAAAGAAGCCGAGAGCACGGGAGGAAGTGCGAGTCTGCCAGGGGCCTCGGAAGAGGGAGCGAAATGACTGCAGCCTCAGCTCACCTCCTTCTCTCTAGGTAACCGGAGCGCGGAGCAGGCAGCGGCACCACGTCTGCGCCTCAGCCCGTCTCCCGCACACGGCTGCAGCCTGCAACACCTGGGCACGAGGGAGCACAACCTCTCGAAAGGCCCCCCCGGCCCCCGCTGCTTTTCAGAGGTTTCCTCCCTACGCCTTCCAACTCGACGATGTCAGTTCAATATCAGCTCAGACACCAGCCCGGCGCCGCACGTGCCGCTGCCGCAGTCGCCGGGCTGATCGCGCCTGATCGAGAACTGCATCGTTACTAAAACGCTCCGGCGGCTGCATGCAGTATGATGCAACGTCGCTATTCGCCTCATTAGGAGAAGACCGAAGGAAGAGACCAACTGAAATCAGAGGTGAAAATAAAAACTTTGCCTAATAAAAGTCCTATGACATGGGAAGCTCCCCTGCTATGTGACAGGAGCAAAACGCTTGCTCCTTTCACAATTTCGCACTTCTCTGCCATGAACCCCAGCAGACTATTGCACACATGCATAATAGCACTGGTCAGAAAAAAGCTTTGCAGAACAAGTTGGAAACCTGGAGATATACACATCCATTCTGAGAATTTTAAAAAGTCACTTCACCTACTGAAAGGCTGATGGCATAAACCTTGGTTTGGTAATTTTCTGTCATGTATCAATCCAAAATTATTTACGTATTCTTAGAAAGAGGATTGTAAGTGCACTGTGAAATGAACAAGGACTGCGTAAAAAATTAAAGATTAAAAGTAGGCACAGTGCACATTCCTTACCTATTCTTCAAACTTAAATATCTCCACCATTTCAAAATCTTTGTTTTCCGTACTAAACTACATTTTGGCGATTAAAGGCAGATTTTGCTTCTGCGGTTTTTTTTAACTCAAAAAGGTACACGAAGTCAGATGAAGCCACAAAGTAAAACCAAACCAATTCTTACAAGTTGAAAATAACCATGTATTTTTTTGCATAACACAATTCTCGTTTGGTTAGGCAACCTGTTTGCCCAGTTTCGGTCCAGCGGGATTTGAACTGGCCAAAGTATGTACCCTGAAGACGGAAGTTACAAGCACGAAGCAAAACTACTACACAACAGCAGGTACTAAGACCTTCTGCAGAGTAAAATGCTTGTTTCGAAAAAAAGCTCGTGTAAACAGCTCATGCTAAACAGCTCCTCTCAAACGTTGATATCTACCACTTCAACAACTTTTCTTGCGAAACACTGAATTCAAACAGCCTCTGAATGTAAAATCTTCTGTCTTGAGAATGCCTTCTCCAGAGATTGCCAAAAGAGCATCTGATACTATGAAAAATATTTTAATGTTCTGTAACTTAAAACAGAATAACTGATTTGCACTACTTTTTGTTTCAAAATATACATCTGGGCTGACAATTTATACAGCAGGTTTCAGCTTGAAGCTATTTAAAACAGCTGAGTTATAAACTCTGAAAATTGGGGTTTGGAGTAGAAATGCTGACAGACCCTGAACTACTGTGGTGCTACTGGGGAGAGCTTTTAGACTTCACGTCCCTTTTTTCTCCCCCTGCCTTTAGGTCCACTAAGGCTCTTTGCTACTACCAGCATCATACAGAAGCCACTTGTAACATCTAACGTGGCAATCTGGGTCTGTATGACTTCCAGCAAAAACTCCCAGACTCAGAAGCAGAGGGCCAAATTCTGACGAGTCTGCTCCCATAAAGCACCGCCGGCTCTTCAGATTAAGAAGTGACTATCATTTGGACCCAGGTGCACAGTATCTATTTCTTTTACGCTGGAACATCCCTCCATAGAGCTATATGAACAGGTACATGTCTAATGCTCTTCCCCACGAAACCAGTTTGCATTAACAGTCTTATTGGTTAGGAGGCTCAACACGGACTCCCTCCCCAGTGCGTGTAAATATTAATACTTAAAATTCAAATCTAACGCTAAGCCAACACTATTTCAAAAAATTATAATCAAACCCAGCACTGTTTATAACATACTTCCTCTCCTGCATGTGATTTATATCTGGGTTTTTTAAACTAAAACAGTGCTATATCCAGAGTACTTTTTAACTAGAGAATTATGACACACTTAACACACCACTCAAAACATTATCATCAACATATTATTTATTGCCAATAAAACTTCAAAAAGTGTGTTGTCTGTGAGCTATTTTACTTTCAAGTTACTGTTTAGCCAAGATTTCTATACCCCAAATCTGTCTTTTTTTTTTTTTTTTTCCTTGTGGGAGATATCCCATTCTGCTATATCCCAGTCAAGTGTTTCGCTCTAGGAGGGACGCAGCTTCTTTGGTCCACAAGTACCGGACAGCTGCATGGGAGTTCCATTTTTAAAATGAAATCTTTTTTTTTAATAAACGGTCAGAACTGTTTCAACAAGAGTTTCAAATTCATTTACCAGTAAATAAGGGCGTGCTTATCTTAGGCATACTTTTAAAAGTACGCACCGCGTAGCCATGTGGAAGCGCAGGCGCACCCTCGGCGGGCGGGTGCGAGGGGCAAGGCGCGACCCTGCTGCACCCGCGAAT